TTTAGCACTTTTCCATTAGGGTCCATTTTTAGAAAAATCATGTATAAACAAAAATTATAGAAATCGATATCGCAAACAACTTTTAGTTCAACAATTTTCATAAAAATCAGAATTTTGCAAATTTTGTCAAATTTCTCGAATACGGACCATTTCAGGAAATTTTGACATAAAGCAAAAATTATAGATAATAATATTAGAAGTAACTTTTATTTGAACAATTTTCTTCTCCAAACATAAATAACAGATATATTCCATAAAATATAAAAACGGCCTCCCATAAAGTACCCCCCCAGATGTTCCGACTTTGTCCAAAATCTAAGCATTTCACGTCAGGCCGAAATAAACCTTAAGTTTAAAATTTAATGTTTTTTCCTTTATCCGTTTTTGAGTTTTCTTCAAATTTCGAAATTTACACATTTTCTCAAATATCTCGAATACGGTCCATTTTAGAGAAATTATGTATAGGACAAAAATTATAGAGAATTATATTATAAACAACTTTTATTTGAACAATTTTTATAAAAAATTATGTTTTTTACATTTTGTCAAATTTCTCGAATACGGACCATTTTAGGAAAATTTTGCATAAAACAAAAATTATAGATAATTATATTAGAAGTAACTTTTATTTGAAGAATTTTCTTCTCCAAACGTAAATAACAGATATATTCCATAAAATATAAAAATGACCACCTATAAAGTACCCCTCCAGATGTTCCGACTCTGCCCAAAATCTAATCAGCTCATTGGACGCTGAAACAAAGCTTAAGTTTAAAATTTGGTGTTTTTTTGTGTATCGGTTCATGAGTTATGTATGTACACACACACACACACACACACACACACACACACACACACACACACACACACACACACACACACACACACACACACACACACACACACACACACACACACACACACACACACACACACACACACACACACACACACACACACACACACACACACACACACACACACACACACACACACACACACACACACACACACACACACACACACACACACACACACACACACACACACACACACACACACACACACACACACACACACACACACACACACACACACACACACACACACACACACACACACACACACACACACACACACACACACACACACACACACACACACACACACACACACACACACACACACACACACACACACACACACACACACACACACACACACACACACACACACACACACACACACACACACACACACACACACACACACACACACACACACACACACACACACACACACACACACACACACACACACACACACACACACACACACACACACACACACACACACACACACACACACACACACACACACACACACACACACACACACACACACACACACACACACACACACACACACACACACACACACACACACACACACACACACACACACACACACACACACACACACACACACACACACACACACACACACACACACACACACACACACACACACACACACACACACACACACACACACACACACACACACACACACACACACACACACACACACACACACACACACACACACACACACACACACACACACACACACACACACACACACACACACACACACACACACACACACACACACACACACACACACACACACACACACACACACACACACACACACACACACACACACACACACACACACACACACACACACACACACACACACACACACACACACACACACACACACACACACACACACACACACGCACGCACGCACGCACGCACGCACGCACGCACGCACACGCGCACGCGCACGCACACGCACACGCACAATCTGTATACAGATAGGAAAGTAAAAATGCGCATTTTAATGTAATTGATTTGCGAAATATATCCAAAAGTATTTACGAAAAATGCAATGTAAAAATGCAACATTAATAATAATAATTAATAATCCTCACTTTATATTTGTGTGACGTTGGATATAATCACATTTAAATAAAACAATAGTTAGTTTTTAAGTACATACTTTGTTTACCATTATCTTGAATAGACACCTAAAATTACATAATAGATCTAAACACTAGCACACATAAGAACATAGTATATTAACAAATACATATCCTATTTATTGAAATTGTTAAAAGCATTGACAACTTGTTACGGCCTTTTGGCACACTCATATATTTTAGTGATCAATTCAATAGAAATACTTTTTTAAAATTCGATATTATTCTTAATTTGCTATGAATTTAGCTTATCTTTTAATTATGTCCAGCCTTTTGATAATTTTTCTAAGAATTCTTAAAGTACAGTTTTTTTATAAATAATTCATAATAATAACCTTCTCTATGTTTATATAAAAATTAACCCCTTAATTGGGAATTGTTTATTATTTTTACTTGACATATAAGAATTAGGTTAATAATTTTAAATGAGACCTCAGGTTTTTCAAAATAATGAGAATATGCAAATTAATAGTACCATGGCCTTGACCATGTGTCTGTCCTTTATTAATTAATATCATAATACAGGAAAATATAATTTATTAGAATATATAAAACAAAAGAACAATATGTTTTGTGGTACTAATGGTACTATGACCTTGAACCTGAATCTATCCTTTATTAGCTAAATCAATAAAGTAGGAAACATATATTTTATTAGAGTGTTTGCAATAAAAGAACAACATTTTAATGAATTAATTTTAAACTTTTATCCTGACAAGGCATTTTTCTGAATATTTGAAGATATTTCATTTTGTTTTGTGACTTTTATCTAGGACGGCGTCCTAACTCAATTTTGAGGATTTTAATAGTCAAAAAATAGAGTTCGTAGTGTTTTATTGGAATAAAGATATTTTACTGGAAGATATAAAATTACACAGCTATTTTGTGGATTGTAACCTACCGCACCCAGGTACCTTAATAATTTATTAATTCCATTTATTAAATACAATATTGCATTCTTATTAAATTCAAAATCCTTCATTTAACGAAAAATCTCCCAGATAATTAAATCTTATTTACGACACCTAATAAATAATAGCTATAACCACGGCCGTAAAGATCCAAATTTCGTGCACGTGGCTGAGTTCCTAGAGTAAGAAAACACCATAAAACCTATTTCTTTTCACGAAGTCATTATCATTAAAACACTTAACTCGCTTATCTTGCTAGTTTCGATGTTAAGACCGATTTCGACAATATTTCAATACACAAAGCTTTCAAGGCACAAAATAAATAAGCCACCCGCTGCACCCACAGTATTTCCATGAGAACTAAAGACAGAGACGTCACAAAAGCCGTTAAAATTTTATTATAAAAAGCCAACCCCAAATGAGCTCAGATTCATTCATTTATTATTTGTATCCAGTTATATTTCAAGTTCAGTAGTCAGTACCAGTGTCAACGTCTCGACGCCCAACGTCCTGCCGTCCTACTCCCTACGTCTCGAACGCTATCACATTCCTCACCATCTAAGTTTTCCTACCTTACACTCATTTCCACGCTCAACGTCCCACGCCTTATTTCCGACGCTTGCCGTCCCTTAATATTTCCTTCATTATATCACGTCCCGCACCACCTACATAATTCTACCGTATATCTGTCCCAATACAGTACCGTATTACATACCTTCCTTTCCACCACGACGCTAGGTGCCTCGACGCTTAACGCTGCGACGTACCTGAATCGACGCCGTCACAACGCTAGATGAAATTAGTACATAATCTAATGTCTGTATTTTCAGTGGTGAGTCAAAAGATTTATTTAACTTTCTTTGAGATACCACCGGGGTTTCGTTTAAGGGCGACTTGACATTTGCTGTAAAATATTATAAGTTAAATATATATAAACTTACCCATAATTGCATGAAGCCCCTTAATTCAATCAAATTTAGTTGTTAACCAAAAGTGTCGACGCTAGCGGTAGTTTTATCAATCTCCTTTTTTTCTCTTATAATTTGTATTATATGGTTGCCTTTATAACAGGAGATAGATGGTTATAATTTTCCTTTGATTTACTCTGTACATATCTATTGAATTACGTTTGAGTTGATTACTAAAAGAATAAACCTAATCAATCAAGAAATATTATTTTATTATTTAATGTTTATTTACCAAGCCTTTTCTTCCCTGAGATAAAAGGTAGAACCCACGATAGCCACATTAAGGCGAAACCTTTTGCAGCTAACAAACTAGACATTTTTCAAAATTTTCGACAAGAAAGTTTTGTCCGTATACATTAGGGTGGTCCTTATTGTATGATCTTCTAATTTTCTTTGGGACATCCCCTGAAATGGTGTCACTTAATAAGAAGGAAAAGTGTGCAAAATATCAGCTTGATCAAATAAAGAGAACATGTGTCGCAAAGCATTTGAAAATCACGAAATTTTGATTTTGATTTTTCACCAATGAATCATGAGTAGCGGATATTCGGGCATTCGGACATTGCCACAATTTATTGTTCAGTTGGCATCAAATGGACAGGCGTTGAAAGTGTTTTTTTACAATTTACGCAAAGTGAAGTTGAATTTAAGATCCAGTGCACATTTGGTAAGGAAAGAATTAAAAGTTTTTTGGGATAAGGCAAGAATTGCAACTAAAAAATGTCAGTACTGTATTTTTACAAAAATCCAGTAAGCGGAGTGAGGTGCAAATTCAGGAAGATAACACCTTTGTTGAAAAACTCGACGATCTTTTCTACATCGCTCATGCTTGGGCTTTGGAGATGGTAAACCAGGAAGACAAAGAGTTTCTCATAAATAAAAGAAAAGAAAGTACAATCGGGATCTATGATCGGAAGCGACCGCTTTCTACTGGAAAAAGAGAAGAAATATTTACAAGAGCAATTAAGGAAGAAACGGCATGAAGAAATGCAATCAATAAACTGTTAATTATCAATTTATATGGCAGACATTCCGTAAAATATTATTTATTTTCTATTTCCGTTCATGCAGTTTCATCGATTTCTTCAACTAGTAGTAAAGATGAGCACAGATCTATCCACGAGGAAAATGTAGTAAAAGAACCTGAATCTGATAGTCCGGTTATGGATGTAACAGAAAAACCTGGTCCTCATAGCATTCAGCCGATGGAACTAGGAGATAAATCAGGTTCGTGTAGTCCACCTAAACATAAAAGAAAATGAGGTACTCGGGAGTTTATTACTACAAGCTTTTGACAAAAGTGTAAAATATGAGATGTAGTTCATATTATAATTGCCATTGCCGAAGGACTCCATCATAACGTGAATGATTTGATTATTAATCGGTCATCCATTTGCCGCTACCGCGAGCGCTTCAAAACTGTCAAGCGTTTGATGAAACAGAGATCAGTGCAATTGCAGTGCATTGGAACGGATAAATGCTTCCTGCATTAATGCAAAAAAAGCTAGTTGATAGACTTCCCGTTATCGCTACATACAAAAAAGTAGAACTACTTGGAGTTCCTCAATTAGAATCAAGAACTGGACGGGATCAAGCTCTTACTGTTTACAACACACTGCAGGAATGGCATCTAGCAGATAAAGTACAGGTACTGTGCTGCGATACAACGACCGCAAATACAGGACGAATAAAAGGGGTTTGTATTTTTTGAACAAGAACTAGGAAGAGATGTTCTATACTTGCCGTGTCGACACCACATATACGAGCTCATTTTAAGGAGCGTGTTTGACACAAAACTTGCAGAAAAATCTAACGGCCCAAATGTTAAACTTTTCAAACGTTTTCAAAAATCATCGTCTACAATTAATTTGCAAATTTCAAAACTAGCATGGAGGACCAGAGTGTCACAGGAAAACTATCAGTATTTGCAGAAGACACAAAGCAATTTGCTTTACAAAATGTACAAAAGCACCACCCAGGGGAAGACTATAAAGAACTTCTTGAATTTACGATAATTTTCCTTGGTGGTCTGCCCCCTAGAAGTATATCTTCTCGAGTTCCAGGAGCTTTTCACCATGCTAGGAGGATGGCTAAAGCCATCTACTGCCTGAATTGTTTTCATTTTCGCACGGAATTCATATTAACAGAATAAGAAGAAAGTGGAATTCGCGACGTATGTGTCTGTCTTGCAAGTTTTTACGTAAAGGCTTAGATTAACGCACCGAATACGATTGAAGCTTCACGACAAGACTCCGATTTTTTAAAAAGTCTCTGAGTATAAAAACGATTTACAAATTAGATACGTTACTGTTCCCAAATCTTGTAATCAGTTGTGGTATCTAGCACCAGTAAGCACTGCTCTAGCTTTTTTGATGATAATGTTTCTAAAGATACCAAAAGGCGGATGGTGCAAGCATTGCAATGCAGCGAGACTGATATGCCACCATCTGCCGAAAATAAAAAATTTGTTAAATATCACATAAACAAAGGACTCGAGCAGTTCATTTAGCCTACATCAAAGAATTTTGTCAATAGATTCAACATTGACACCCAATTTTTGGACAAAGAGCCTTTAACATAGTTACAACGCTGGTCTGGAAAGTGAAAGTTGTACACGATTCTGCAGAAAGAGGAGTTAAATTAATGGAGGATTTTAACAATCTGTTTACAAAAAATGAAAATCAAAAGTAGTTTGTTTTACAAGTAGTCTCTGACTACCGACGCAAATATTCAGATTCTAAAAAAAACACTTTATTATCAAAAGATTTTTAAATATTATTTGTTCTTCAAAAAAAAAAATATATATATATATATATATATATATATATATATATATATATATATATGTATGTATTGAAATTGTGTTATTTTTAAATAAAAAACAACTATATGATTTGATTTAATTTTTGTAAATTCAGCCGTTCTGCGGCACGTGTTCCCCTTATTTAATTCAACTGATATTTTACACGAATTATTTTCTTGTTATATGGAACAAATATCCGAAACAAAATCGTTTTTTTTTACCATATAGCTAAGGACCACCCTTAGATGTAACATTGCGCACGTTGTCTATTCCAACCCTAAGTAACCCACCAATTAAAAATCATTGTATCCACGACGCCACCCGAATTGCTCCGAAATTTCTATTCTACGCTGGTCTCCGCGTGAGTCAATCATTATGGACCGCCATTTTTTGAATTATTTGTTGGTGTTATTAGCAATTTAAAGTGTTTCAATTTCAAGTTGAAAATGCCACGATGTATCGTGAAAAATTGTATATACAAATAATATAAGTATCAATGTTATGAAAAATAAGAAATATATTCGTTTTCAGCAGTAAATATTTGTTAACATTTTGACATAAAGTCTCCATGATCCTTTGAGCTGAATACTTCAGATCCGCTTTGAGGGGTTTCAATAAATATTAAGCATCAAATACATAATATTTCAGAAAATAGATTTCATAATGCATAAATTTACAAAAGAGCAAAAACATTTAATATAAATAAGTAAATAGGCATTGTTTCTAACGAAATTTTGTTTTTAAAAAGTAGTTTTATAAGAATATTTACTAAAGGTGGTTTTTAGCCCTTTTTGGATTTGAGTGAAATATTTTTATGAAAACTGAAAATCAAATTAGTCGTTATAAAAGCATCCAGAGTTCAACTCGAATGGATAAGTTTTTTTCCTAAAGTAATATAATCGGGGCACCGTACCTTGATTGTCCGAATGACGACTCATTATCCGATGATGAATACCAAGATCCAGACTACCCTTCATATCCAATTTCAAGAATCAATGAATTTAGAAGAAATTGATATTGAGATAACTAATGTTTCTGACAATCTCGGACCATCCAGTTGCAAGAAACCAAAGCTCTCATAATTTATATCATGTTTTGTTTTTGTTAATGTATTTCATTAAACAGCAGTTTCATAGTAGGTACCTTAATTTGAATAATATTTCATTTCAAACTCTTTTTTCAATTTTGTGAAAATCAAACAGAATATTAGTTTTATTTGAAGTGGGTCCAACTGTCTCAAAGTTTCAAATTATGCATTTCTTCGGTAACAAAATATCGTTTTCCATTACCTTTTTTTATCAATAAATATTATGCATATAATCAATCCAATTATTATTTTTAGTTACTGGTAGAACTTTCTTATCAAATATAACATTCTTGTGAGTCATTTAATAATGTTTTGTTATATTCTCGGCTTTATAACTGAAACCTATACTTGACAAATTAAAAAATAAAACTATACCTATAATAAGATGCTATTAGCTTTTTCTATTTCATTATTTACACAAAAATTTTCATAATCTCCATAATTTTTACAACAATAAATGTGATAAATACCAACCATTTTTTTTATATTGTTGCTGAAACAATTATCATCGAAGAGAGAGTGAAGGTTTAAAAATTATTGACAAGTGATCCATTTAAGGAGGTCCTTTTTTTTTAAAAATGTGAGTATTTGTACAGTGCCTCACGAGAAAGTAAGTCCTCAACAACAATTCTCGAATTATACTATTATTTATTGATTAGATGGAGTAGAAAAAAACTAAAAATAAGGCTTTTGAAATATTTAGATTTTGTTTTATACAATAAAATATATATAGTAACCCGTGGAACTTATTGAGAAATTAATATTAAAAAATCACAAAAAATTTTCAAGTAACCTAGTTGAAAATTTTTTGTGATTTTTTAATAATAATTTTTCAATAAATTCCACGGTAACCTATATATTTTATTGTAAAAAACAAAACCTAAATATTTCAAAAACCTTATTTTTAGTTTTTTTCTTCTCCATCTAATCAATAAATAATAGTAAAATTAATTATAATTCGAAAATTGTTGTTGAAGTCTTACTTTTTCATAAGACACTGTACACACACATTTTTAAAAAAAAATTTTCTCAAAAATTTGCACGGTAAGGTATAGTTAAAAGTTCACTATTAGATAAATAAGGACATCTACTATTAGAAAAAAATTAATTTTAGTCATAATCTAATATTTTTTATTTAACATTGGTGGCGAAAGGACCTCCTTAATAAATTTTTGCCTAATTTGTTTTTTAAATTACGAAACATAAATTTTGCACATGTCCTCATGTTTAATATACAGGGCATCCTATACGCGTCGATCTCTGTAGGGAAAACGACTTAAAATTTGAATTTTTTTTAATAGGAATATACAGGGCCATTAACACTACAAATTAAAAAAATGGATTATACAGAGTGACCCAAAAATAGGAATTTAAATCAAAGTTATGTTTTTTAAAGGGAACACCCCATATGAATATTATTCTTATTTTAAATGGCACACCCTGTATTTAATAACTTAAACTGATAGATATTTAAATTATCTTTCATTCCATACAAGATTTCCCTATACCTAAATTCAACCCCTATACCCAAATTCAACAGTTTTTTAGTAAATATCTGTTTTTATGTTTAATATAGCTAATTTTTTTAAATAAATATACAATATGCTGAAGAATGGAAAATATCGAATAAAACATCGATGTCGGTAGATAATATTAAAAAAATAAAACCGACGAAAATTGAAACATCGAACGTCGCGTCGAAAGTCAAATATCGATGTTTTTCAAACATGACGTATCGTGCGCATCCCTAGCTAGTTACGCCTCTCGATACTTGAGGATCTAGAAGAGCTTCCTGGTCTTGGACCATATTTTTATTAGAATTAGAAAGTCTCAGACAGTGCTACACCCAAGTTACAGTTAAAATTTAAAGTTAATAATACTTACTTGCTATTATTTAAAATGTCAGAAATATGGAACTATTATACTAAAGACGATTCAAAGCAAAACGCAATTTGCAACATTTGCGAAAACTCTTTCAAATATTCTGGAAGTACTAGTACTCTTTGGAGCCACATGACAAGTCCAGTTTCAGAAGAATTTGACAAACGATTTAATTTAAACGATACCTTGACGAATAAGTTTGAAAACATTTCAACTGCAGACTTTGCAACCTATCTTGACCCCAGATATAAAAATATTGATAGAAAAATGGACTTTCGGTTGAAAGTCAAGTACGAGTTGGAAAAACAAAATGGAACTATGTCTGAGGAAATGGATGAGATGATAACTAATTCTGAATCTGAAGCCAATAAGAAATCGGAAATAAACATTTTATTTCCAGAAGATTCTGGACCTAGTAATTATCTTTCGAAAGTGGAGGAATACTTCTGAGATACTATTACGAAAGGATCAAAATCCATTAACTTGGTGGAAAAACAACGCGAATAAATACTCGTTATTGTTTGTTTTGACCGAATCCGTTCCGGTTCGACCGGCTCGGTTTGATGGGACCGATAATCTGACCGGTTAACCTGATAATCGGACCGGTTAACCTGATAATCGGACCGGTTAACCGGATATCCGGACCGATTATAATAATAGTAAAAATCCGGTTAAAACCGAAACCGGTTAAAATCAGTCGAACCGGTTAACCGTTTATCACGTCAGGAATTGACAGCCTTAATGAAAATCCTCACGTCTTTCGTGCTTTCGATCATCAGCATAGGTGGCCCTTGAATGTGTAGGGAGGAATATTATGTTTACATGTTATTGGTCCTTATTTTTTACCGGTCATCTTAATGGCATAAAATTTCTAAAGTTTTTGCGGAGAAAATTATCTAGACTTCTTGATAATGTACCTTTAAATACTAGGCAGAAAATGTGGATGTAGTTGGATGGAGCCCCCGCACATTTTTAACTTCGAGTACGGCGATACATAAACCGGCGTTTTGTTAATAAATGGATCGGAAGAGGTGGTCCACATAATTGGCCTCCAAGATCTCCAGACGACGTCGTTGGAATTTTTTATAGGGACACATACAAAGTATCGTTTATAACACCCCACCAACTACTCCGGAAGACATGAAAGCTAGACTAAGAGCTGCTTTTTAGACAGTAACTGGAGAAATTCTCAAAGTGAAACGATCCTTTGAAAAACGAGTTCAGTTGTGTTTGGAACAAGATGGGCGTCACTTTGAACATTTTTGTTTTGTTTTCAATTTGTTTCTTACTCTTTTTCATTTGTGTGTAGTTTTCAAATAATTTAAATTTTCTTGTCATTAAATATTTTTTTTTTTTATTAAAAAAGTTATATGTAGTTTTTACATTAAAACCTATTTAACATTGAAAAGAGACAAAATGTTTATTTCGTTCAATACCATATTTTGAGTGATATTTGCTCTATGGTTACTATAGGTTTGTTCCAACACAATAGCAAATCGGTTTGCGTACTGTCGGGATTCTGCGCAGTCTAGATTTGGTGTTCCAACAAACTTCGGACTCAAAACTGTACAAAAACCTAGTGTTCCAACACACCCAAACCTAATCACAAACCAGTTTCTGTACTGTCAAATCAGTTCCTGGGTGTGAATATGAACGAATTGTCAAGATATGCGCAAAACGAAAGTGAGCTCGTAAATAAACCACCACCAACTCTAAAAATCGAATAATTAAAATTTATAAATCTTTTCATGAGTTTTATAATTTTTTTACTTCCCAATTCAACATTTTACATTTGTTAAATTTGCTTTTACTTTGACGTTGTTAACAGAGTGTGTCTGACAACATAAAAATGTGTTCCAACACATCCAAGTTCCGAATCGCGTCCCAATCCTCGACAGGTCGTGGACAGGTCGTCGACTATCAGTCGTCTACAATAAGTTGTGGACTGGTTTATGTATGGTCCCAAAATTGTTGTTGGAACAAACCTTACGATTAAAAAATATGATAAAATCCGTATGTTAAAAATAAAAAACTGCTATTTACTAAAGATCTATCGAATTTAGGTATAGGGAAATCTTATATGGAATGAAAGATAATTTAAATGTCTATCAGTATATGTTATTAAATACAGGGTGTGCCATTTAAAATAAGAATATTATTCAACTCCATATGTAAGTCGAATTCAATTAGACTAAATGAGCACCCTGTATGATGTAATGGAAAAATTTGTATTTTATTCGATAGTCTAATATCTTGGCTACGCATATCGCTGGTGATTGTTGATGTGTTTTAAATAACCGCGACTTACTAGGTTATGTTGTGCAAGCTTACAAATTAAGAATCCTTTAAATGTTTCAAAAACGAAAAGATATAGGTATAAGAAATATTACAGAAACTTTACTATATTTTTTCCGGGGAATCAAAAGATACCATCAAATATAGGGTGTTCCCTTTAAAAAAACTTTGATATAAATTCCTATTTTTGGGTCACCCTGTATAATCCAAATTATTTTTAATTTGTATTGTTAATGGCCCTGTATATCCCTATTAAGAAAAAAAATAAAATTTTAAGTCGTTTTTCCTACAGAGACCGACGCGTGTAGGATGTGCCACCCTGTATAAATTTTGTGACAGTGTTACTGTTTAAAAAATAACCAATATGCAACTCTCTGTCATAATTTTCTCAATAAATAGCTATATGTTGTCCGAGGTTGCAAATTTATTAGATTGTTAAGAAAAATATTAACATTTGCAACCAATTTTCAAAACTTTTGCACTTTTTTGACAAAATTAGAGGAAAATAAAGAATAATTATTTTATTATTTAAAAAAATATATTTCCGTACAAAATAAAAGGTTGCAAATTGAAATAGTTGTTCCAAAAACGTGTATGAGTTATGTCATCGGTTGCAGCACTTTTGCAATTTTTTATTTATGATATAAACAAAAACGCTATTTTACAAAAAAAAAAATCATGTTCCGAAAAGTCGCAAATCAAATAATGTTAAAAATAATACAAAATATATTGCTTCAAATTTGCAGCAGTTTTGAAATTTTTTTTAGAAAGTTTTTTGCAATTATTAATATGTTTCGGACCTGAGAAAAAAATGCAAATTTAAATTAATAATTATTTCAATTTAATAAATATTCCAACAAAGTTCGAAAACTTTTGATATTTATTTTGTACTATTATAGTCAATATCTCTAACTTAATCTGGCAACCAGAAAAGATCCCTCTTATGAAGAAAATACCTAATTTTTCTATTCTTTGTGCCCGTTTCTTGTATTGAATAGGTTTATTGCAAAACGGTATTGCAACAGATGGAGACGTAAAATTTATTGCGTATAAAATAAACATTGTCGACAAAGAACTTGAAAGTGTACTTAAAAGTACGATCGCCCGCGGCGAGCAATAAAAGTTTACCTGACCACCTAACATTAATCAGAAGTAAATCTTTCAATAAAAATCCTGAAGTGGTTCACACGTGAGAGGCGATGAAGTAATGCCTATATTTAAAGGATCGGCTTAGCGAAATGTTTATGGAAATTATTGTACATTGTTGACTTTAACGATAATTAGATATTTTGTTGACTTTCGTGAGTGGTGGTGCTACCGGTGGTTTTAGACCTCGAAAATTTTCGTTTCAATAAACTGTTTTGCGTAATGTAAATAAACACTTAGGTCATTTCCTTTAACACTTTTAAGGCAGATCCATAAAATCGCTTTGCTAATTTGTGTTTTGTTTGAAGCGGTAGTTCAAACAAATCAATCTTATTTGTTCTGTTTTTTTTTTCTTGTTTACTCATGAACGAATATACTAAACAAGACCCAGATAAGACAAAAAATTCTTTTTGACATGGTAAAAATTATAACTTTTTCCACAATATCGCATATAGATAGCTCATAATTTAGCTTAATTTGAAACCTTTTATTATCAGATAATTTTACGAAAAAAATAAAAAATTCTGCATGGTTTAATAGTATATTATATATTTTTGTTGTATACTACATATTACATAAGAATGGAAAAGTAATTTGACGAGTGCGTAAAATTTTAAACGAGGTTTTTCACTTGTTATGAAATGATGGATCTGGTACTAATCGAATTCTGTTTTTATTTATTGTTAGTTTATATCTTGCTAGTTTTAGTGCAATATTAAGAGGAAAATTTACATTACAAACTGAAAGACTTGCGGGGCAACGGTAGTATAGTAGGTATAAAAATTACAACTAAAGGGTGGAGCCTAAATACTATAAAATTACTTTCAAGACTAAACAAAATCAGCATTCATTCTTATTTTAACAATTGCATGTAGATACGAGGGATACATATTATTCTAAACTCTAACGCGCGAAGTTGAGACAAAGGAACCGAAAAATATTCCACAATAGCACAAAATAATATATATTTTAAAATAATTGATTGAGAGTAGAAAAGCGCCCATAGTTTAGCAATACATTCGCTCCTGTACCACATGTTAGTGTTCGATAAGTAACTCTCAAAGTACATTTTACTCTTTTACCGTTCGATTATTATCGGGTAAGCAATTTAGGTTCGTTAAGGTGATTACAGCACCCCCTTATAATTTTCGGACAAGGATATCGCAAAAAGTAATTTCTTTAAAAAATTTAAATTTTGGTAAAATAAATAAATTAGGCAATAATATCTAGAATATGCGTATATTTTAAAGTTTTAATTCCTTGCAGTTTCCGAGAAAAAAAATCTGATGTGTCCAACACATGACTTTCCTATCTAGTTATTATAGGCTTTTTCCGGTTATTTTGTATAACCTATTGGAGCACCTCTATAAATGTTTAGAGGATAAACTAAATATATACATTTTCCATATACATCTACCTCGAAACATTTTTCTATAGATATTCATTGAAAACGAAAATACTGAAAAATTTAAATTTAGCACTTTTCCTACAATTTTTCCATTACGGTCCATTTTAGAAAAATCATGTAAAAACAAAAATTATAGAGATCGATATCGCAAACAACTTTTAGTTCAACAATTTTCATAAAAATCAGAATTTTGCACATTTTGTCAAATTTCTCAAATACGGAGCATTTCAGGAAATGTTGACAAAAAGCAAAAATTATAGAAAATAATATTAGAAGTAACTTTTATTTGAACAATTTTCTTTTCCAAACATAAATAACAGATATATTCCATAAATTATAAAAACTGCCTCCCATAAAGTACCCCCCTGATATTCCGACTTTGTCCAAAATCTAATTATTTCACGTCAGGCCGAAATAAAACTTAAGTTTAAAATGTAATGTTTTTTCTTTATCCGTTTTTGAGTTTTCTTCAAAATTCGAAATTTACACATTTTCTTAAATATCTCGAATACGGTCCATTTTAGAGAAATTATTTATAGGATAAAAATTATAGAAAATTATATTACAAACAACTTTTATTTGAACAATTTTTATAAAAAAT